ATTATGTATTACCTTCTAAAAGTCACCTAATTTCCATTTTTATGAGTTATCATAACACCCGTTTCCAGATTTATATCTTAATCTCAGTCAATGGCTTATATTCAAGATTCTATTTTGAGCTTATATTCAAAATACGTCGTTAGTAGTAAGAGCAAGGGCAAGTACCCAATTCATCATTCTCAGGATTTCATACAATTTAAAGGTCAATTGCGATTCAAAGGTGAGAAAAATAGTTTTCTATCCCAGACTTCATTCTTCAATACTCAATAACACGAAAAAAAACTTTTCAGGCTCTGTGCATCATTTGTATTGTATATTTACACCCCACAATCCACGACCAAGAGTGTTTACCGCCTTTATCAATTCAGGATTTCGTACAGTTTAAAGATAATTTCAATTTAAAGGTAAGCAACGTTTAAGCTTCAATACTTATTAACGTGAAAAATATTTTTCAGGCTCTGTGCGTCTTTTGTATCATATATTTACACCCGACAATCCAAGACCAAGAGTGTTTACCTCCTTCAGCATTTCAAGATTTCATACAGTTTAAAGATAATTACGATTTGAAGGTAAGAAAAAAACTTCTATCTCGAACTCAAAGCTTCGATATTTAATAACATGAAAATAAATTTTCAGGCTCTGTGCATCTTTTGCATTATATATTTACACCCGTCAATCCAAGACCAAAACGATGTGTAACCAGTTCATCATTTCAGGATTTTGTACAGTTCTAAAGATAATTACAATTTAAAGGTAAGAAAAAAAGTCTTCTATCGTGGAGTTTATGCTGCAATATTTAATAACATGGAAATAAATTTTTTAGTCTCTGTTCATCTTTTGCATTATATATTTACACCCGACAAAGCAAAAGTTTTCTATCTTGGCGTTTATGCTTCAATACTTAACTATATTAAAATAATTTTTAAGGCATAATGGTTGGACGCAGACGCGCTAAACGTTCATGCTCTTACTGTAAGGGTACAGACCATAATGTGCGGACATGTGCCGTTAAAGCGTCCATCGGAGCCAAAGAACCGAACCAGACAATTGAAGAGGAAGCCACGTCTCACGAATTGACTGACAGAAATGCTGAGGAAGTGAAGGAATCAACGGAGCAGAACTCGAACCAACAGCTATCGACTCGTTATCCGGTTATTGGAGACACTATTTGGGATTTGCTGCCGACTACTGCTTCTCCGCCGTGCACTGACGGACTTCGAGAAAGCTCTTACGATAATCCTGGTGGTATGTCATGGCTTTTGATGGTATGTCAACTAAATAATTTACACTTAGTGAACAATTCGGGAGATGGTAACTGTGCATACATTTCTATATTACAAGGTATGCAATTTCTTGGCTTACGCAATATACCGACCACTGTCGAACAACTTCGGTCAAACGTAGCCGATGAACTTACTAGCTGTGCACATATTTATAGAGATTTATTAGAAACTGATAATCGCCAGTTGGATTTTGACAATTTTATTTCCTTAACATGAATTACTCGTGAATGGGCTCAAACTTGTTGTTTTTATGCAATAGCTGCTCTTTATCCAATAACAATTCGTTTACGGGACGACCGGACAAAACATTTCGGTTCTTTTGGCACTTTTCCGCGAGTAGTTAACATCGGGTATTTATCCAGCAGCTTCCATTATGTAGCTCTGCTCCCGTCTTCTACTTTGTCCAACAATTCATATGATGATGATACATCAATGGAACAATCAATCACGAATAAATATCGTTTCCAGTTCCTCCCCATTAGACGGAGGCGAAGATATTCGACATAGTATTGGGAACATGCTTCAAGCGGAAAAACCTGGATGATTATTTTGTGCATATTCCGAGATTGCCACCTCACGGATTCTACGAAGCTCTTATTGATTCATTGGCATGCTATTCCAACGTTCGATATACCGTCAAATCCTTGCGCCGTCTCTGTTGGATGGAATTGTCAAACAATGTTTGCGAATATCAGCGTGAACATGCATCTGACCATGGTGAAATATTACGTGACACCATGGCCGGTGGTTCGGCTTGTCCTATTCATTTCAAAGCAATAGCTAGGAGCCTGGTGGGTTGCATTGATATTATCGACGCAAAGGAAACAACAAGAGTTCGGCATGGAGAAGGTGATATATTTTGTTTAATTATAGCTAAGGCCGATGAAAGGTTTTGGTCTATTTTGCCCAAAACAAAACGTTCATTCAGTGACTCATGTACTGCGGAAACACACGTTGAATCAGTAGAGCAAACAGCCGCCCATGTTTCACCATCTTCAATATTACAAATTGAATCAACCAATCGTGTGCCTAAGCGAACGGGACGGCCAGATGAACCAAAATATCCGTTGAACCTTCGAGGGATTAGACACGACACCAGAAAATGTGCCAATTGCTGCAGAAACAGTACTGCAAACTATAATATTAATTTGCGTGCCAGATCACAACCAATCAAGCGAAAATCATACGGATCTCTTCATCGCAATATTACCTCGCAACAGGTGTTGCTGTGCGATGTTTGACATAACTATTTGACTGCTACATTTACAACTACCCAAAAATCCTGGTTGTTCTTGGCCCAGCGTCATTTTATCACTTTTGTCACCATTTGGTAACGATCATGGCGTTCCTCAAATAGTTTGGTCAATTTTGCCATCAACAATTAGGGAAATGTGGAGTGAAATCAGTTTAAAAAATACAGAGTCAAAGTTTCTAGATCGTACTCACGATATTAATCAATTTAATTCTTTTGTGGCCACGTACGACATGGGTTATATCAAAGAAGCTTTCAACTTGTTCCCAGTCGCTGACGTAAAATGCCCGCTTGACTGCTGGGAGTTTTTCGAACAATGTGATTTCATCCCTCTTCTGCATTATTTAGCAGATATAACAGATGTCAAACTATCAGGAGCTGATCCGGACGCATTTAGAGGAGCAAGACCTGATTGGCCACCTGGGCAAACAACTTACTTGGGCGATTACATATGCGCAGCTGGAATGGCTGTTTCGGATGAATATGGGATAAGCGTATTGTGGTGCAAAAATAAACACGGTTCCCTCAAACGTCCAACTCTCCATCCACCGACCAATCCCGTTTTTTGGCCAAATGCAGAACAAGGGGACGACTATTTAGCTCCTTGCACCCTGGTTCCTCACGTTAAACGTTTGGGGAAGATTAAAAAATGGAATTCTTCATGGAATATCGTCGTGCTCGTTAAATCCTAATCCATCAAAAATGACCATTTCTCGTGACCATCAAGCGGTTAATTCTCTTATAGTAGGACAACGTCATGACATCAGGAAAAGACTTCATAAGGATCACAATAAACGCCGGGATGCAGAATCATACATGTTCGCTTATGATGTACATCGTCGGGAAAAGTCTGGGATTTATGATGATGACGTTATTAATAAACATTTGACATCAGGAACATATTATATGTGGCGAGCACAAAGAACAAAACAATTACAGAGTTCTTTACAGTCTGACGGTGAATTCATTGATCCATATAAAATGTTTATGGTAATTGTTCACCCCGCCGATTCATTTGGATGTAAGCCATTTCGTTGCTATGTTGACATTAACTTTAGTAAAAGAATCAACATTTCCGATCACGATTACAACGGCGACCCATGGTCACCCGCTGGATTGATATTTTTTATACTCATACATTGCAGACAATTTTACAATTCAGCCCTCATGCAAGCAGTGGAAGATGATGACAAATATACCGCTTCCAATCTATGTACTGTTGCGTTTATTGAAAAGTTCCAAACCCGTTCTAAACTGAGTATGGCAACAAACGTTTTTCAGAAAAGCTTCAGCCATACGATTGTCTCACAGCAACAAAAGGGAATAACTTCAGAAGCACAGATTCTGTCAAATATTTTGTTAATAATTGCTCGAAAATGCATTACGTACATTACAGATGTTTTTTGTCCTCCACTTCCTTTAATATTACAAGATGATGCTGTTTTGTTGATTGTGAAGTCTCCTACTTCTCGAAATCGGCATACTACGCCTCCTGATTGTTTTATAGGTAGGCTCCTACTTATGTTGCTATCTTCCGCGCATGGGCACGCTTTCTGATGGGATAAATCAATGTTTTGGTGGTTGGTCAATAACAAACAGGTGCACAAGTACAATGTTCTTCCAAGACTGCCTTCGTGGCAATTAGCTATATACGGTGTTCTCACTAATGCGGTGGAAGTGGAACGTCTTTCAAGATCCTTAGACGGGCAAAGACATTTTAAGTGTGGAAATCTAGAACACAACGACTTTCTACTCAAAGAGCCGCGTTACACTCACAAACAATGCTTCAAAACAGCATGTACCAATAAAGCTGTTTGGGGATGCCACTGGAGCTACTTGGACAATCAATGCTATGTCGGAATATGCCGCAGGCATTATATTTCTGAGATGCGGAACGATGAAATTGTCGAAATAAAAAACTGATCGAGATTACGTTGTGGTACCTGAGAACGTAAACATGAACGAAGGCGATGATGGTGAATCTGATATTATTGACATTTCGTCTGTAGAATCCGGTGATGACGATGGTGTAAGTGAAATTTTGTTACACCATGCAAATTTGGACTTCATTGATGATGAAACCATTCACGACCTATTACATAATATCTCATCGAACCTACCACTATTTAATGAAAAGAGTAATCCAGTCCCTTTGCATTTTCTGCTCAATGACTCATTCCAGGTTCTTAAAAGAAGCGTACGACACAGGAAAAATGCGAGAACTCAAAACTTACTTCACCATTTCGCTGAAAACAGTGACTCAACGGTTGTGTCTCTTCTCTTTCCAGAGGCACAAATTCTTCCAACCACATTCTGGGCGATGAAAAACAATTCTCCTATCGGCGCCATGCATCAAACTCATTTTTGCCAAAATTGCAACTTTTGCACATATCGTTTTTATTGTTGAGAACTTCTTCCGTAGCATAGAACATTCATTCATGATGCGCAAACAATCGTCACAAATCATACTTACCTGACGAGGCAGTCAACCGCGATCACGAAGGCGGTTCTGCCTAGGCGAGGTTTAGTCATAGCACCCAGACTAAATTGACCCTAGCGATTATCCCAAATGTGAATAACTCGGTCGTGTAATTTCTGCTAGTGGGGACTGCGTTTGCGCTCTCCCTTTTGTGTATTTGCTCCTTATTAATATCCTGTTGGCATGCGAGTTAGGTCAATGAGCGGCCACGCTATTTTCGTATGGCTCCATTAGTTGGGAAGTAGTGTCTTACCGAAAGGCCGTGTTAAGCGTCGTAACGCATGGCTGATTTCGGATATACTGAGTGTGAAAGCCGATTTTTCACTCCATGTCTCAACGTGGCCCACTCCTTCCTATAGCTGTGAAGCAGTGGGTGGTCTTTTTCATTCGAAACCGGCTCAAACTATTAGTGTGGAAGCTGCTAAGCGGCAGCACCTCTTCAGTATATTTCCGGCGTACTGCAATGGTTTCATTATTATTGCCTTTGAAATCGGATTCGCTTGTCTTGAGAGTTGTTGTAAATGAAAGAATCAGTTTTCTGTTTTTTTTTATGCAGGTCCCAACAGCTGCAAAAGGTAAGTATCTTATCAAAAGCCAAAGAAAGTAACGTCTTTCTTCATTATATAGTACCTGCTAATGCAAATACAACACGTTCTCCAACTGTATCTTCACATCGTTTCCTTTCTCTTCCAGCTTACACATTCATATTATATACATACCCATTAGACTAGAAGCATCGCATCTTAGGGAAATACTTTCCTCATAAGTGGATTACTCAGTGAACAGTGACTAGACCAGTAGTCGTTGATGGATGAAAGCTTATTCCGATTGGTAGACAAAGATGGAGTTTTTCATCATCATCATTTTGACTTGTGCAATTATCATTATTAGTACGGTGGAATCGTGGCCGAAGATTGTTTTGTTAAATAATGATACCCAGGTGGGTGTGGAGTATATAATGTTGAGCAATTTTCTTTAAGTGGATTTTAGGGCGCTACGGAAGTATTCGTACCAAGATGAGGCACATCCTGAACCATAGCCTGGTACACATACAATGTTCAGGTTGTGCGCCATCTTGGTACGAATACTTCGAGAGCACCTTTTTGTTGACTTTTACATAACCAACTACATAGGTTAATTTTGAATGCGTAGTAACAATAAATCTTCTTACAGTCAGAAATTCGATTTTAGTACTATAAAGGGTAGTTAATTTTACTAATATAACCCAAGATCCAATGACAGCATCTAGCCACTTTCTTTTGCACTATTCAAACTACACTCGTGTTGCCGCGGGCATTTCGTTTTCCTGCTTGAAACTTGGGAAATATTTTATCCGTTAAAACGGACTGAAATATTGGACCTCGTCTCTTGCTTAGAACAAGGCCATGTAAAACCGTCTACTGGTATCGTCCACTGTAACGTCTTTACTTTTGGAAGAACCGGAACCTTTCAGGAATTTGCAGAATTTGTATCCTGTTCTAAAGAATAATAGTTTCAGCTTTTCTACAATGCAAAATTATATAGTCACATTCATTTAAACCGCGTGTTGGAAGTAAGTCCAACTCATTTTCAAGAAATTTTGCTTTCGATGAGCAATACTTAAAAAATACTCATTATCGAAAACTTTTAGTCCCAAATTTCTGCTAATATAAGTCGGTTCAGCGTTATTCATGCCCTCCAATGTAAACTTAACTGCAGGTGCAAGCTCATAAGCGCCAGAGCTGCCGCTTGGGCAGTTTGTGTCATAACGGCCGTTGCACAAATTGTGCAAACAAACCTCAACGAAACTAACTCCCAACACTCTGAGGTGTTCTTGGGTTATACAAATGGGTTTTTTCACTTTTTGCCATACTATTCCAACTGGCAAGTTTGAACATATTAAACTGTTTGTTTCTTCAGGTGCTGGTAGAATTGAATATTCTGTACGGAGAACCGGGAGATAACCCCAGTACCGTACGCAAATTGGTTTCACAATAGTACATGGTTTTCCGATTGACAACTTCTCCTCAAGCCGCAAAGTGACAGACTTGAGAGAGGTCTGTGCAACGAGACATGCGATTGTATGGCCAAATTTTATGTAAATTAAACGGTAACACTCTGTATCATCCCATTTCATGTTTGTTGACGCCACACAAAACTGTTCACTTTCTGGCTTACGACTTCTGGAAGGAACTGCTGCATGGAGAATATCACCGACGATTTTGACATTTAGGTTTCATCTTTTCTCCATCTAGCAAAGTTATATCGTCCAAGCAAACCTCTTCGTATTGACCACGAACTGTCTTCAGAACGTGCGCTAGCCCTTTATGATTCAATTCAGTTAATATGGCGGACATCTCTTATTTAATTTATACCCTGTTATATAAAACAAATTTATTTTCATAGGATTTTAATGGTATTTTAACATGTGTTACCAAATGAATATTGTCATTGTTTTTTCTGCGTGATGTTTAGCTTACATACTTTGGTTGTTTGATATATACAACAATAGACCAAAAAGGTAATAAAAAACATTTGACCATTTTTATTAACATATAATGAAATTAAGGTACGCCTAAAACGCAATTCAATACATTAAAGCGGTGTTAGCGTGTTAATTTATAATGCTTAAATAAAGCCAGCACGCAAATTATACGAGTAAACTAAAAATCCTATTAGAGTACATCCAGCGAAAGACATGTTTCCGCGACCAGCTTTGCTATCCGAATGTCCTTCAAGAATGTCCGCAGCGCAACGTGCTTGACAATGATGTCATAGCTCTTGATCACCATATAGTGACAATTCACGAACACGACATTCAGATTGCCAATAACACCTCTCAGAGGCCCGCAATAGGCAAAAATCATTACTGAAGATAATTTGGAAGATTTAATATTTTATTTTAAATTGTACACAATACCAAATAAAACAATTGAAATGAAAATGTATAAGATGTTGATGGCTGTTGATGGAATTTATTCTTCTTCCGCTTCTTCTGGCACACTCTCTGTGGCGACAAGTTCATGGTATTCCGTTTCCGGGAAATTTTGTCAAATGGATGTTGATGGTTCATCGTTTCTTGTTTTTTTATAGGGGATTTCACATTCTTCCGACACGGTCTCTGTGGTGACATGTGTGGCGACAGGTTCGTGACCGAATTCCAGTAACTTTGATCCCATTATTACCAAATCGCTTATATGCAGTTTGAATTTGCATGTGACCGTGTCGGAAGAACGTTTCTCAGGCCGAAACCAACCTAATATCCCGGTAGCCTTTGTGTTGACGTAGTGACATTTTTAAGAATCCCAACATTATTCGGTAATCGATTGTTGTCGCAGGCGATACAGACAGCAAATCCCGTTTGAAAACGGCCAACGTCAACATCCTGCTGCTGTATGGCTCCCATTTAAGTTGCATGCCGGGTATATGTATTTTGATTTGATCCACCAGCATTCTATTCTGGCCATAACTGGCTGGACAGTCAATTCCATATCGGCCATCGCAATAATTATGTATACAACTTTCGATGAAATTTGAACTAGTCACTTTTATGTTTTCAGCATTAAAACTGAATGCAGTCATGTCTGTTGAGGTTAATTGCCCAACAGGTATATCGGATATAATCGGGATTGGAGGGTCGCCAGCGGGCAAAATTGGGTGATTAGTGGCTATCACCGGTAATCCTCACTCATTCTCGCAGGTCGTATCTAATGCAACAATATGCTGTCCTATCTGCAACATGTTCTCCAAACGGAGAAAAATGGAGTCCATGTTAATACCTGTAGTGAAACCATTCGAGGAAAACTCATTTAGACTGTTTTCTAGGCTTTTATTAACTCAAAGATTACTACTATACTAAAACAAGAAAAAGAACAAGTTACAAGATGTAGCAATCCTGACGCACGCTAACCAAATAAAACCTTCGCATAGCCACGAGACTATTAACGATGGTGCCACGTTGGCCACATTAGGTGGCGCTAATTCAATTTCATCACAATCACCCCACCCAGAAAGATCATGTATATATATAACAGAATATAAAGTATGCACGAAAATTACAAAATGAAAATAGCACTTCGTAGAATAAAGCTAAGAGATTCTATCTCCGTACCAATCCGGGCTCTTACGTATTCTACCAGAGCGACGAAGTTGAGGGCTTTCAGTATCTTCTACGGGAGTTTCCGAATTTTCATCCGAAGTAGAATTTAATTCATCCTGAGCTTCTGGTAAATCAGCGTCATTCAAATCATTTGGAGTCTCGGTTGGTTTAGCTTTAGATTGGTCGGGACATGGCGCCTGGTCGGGACATGGCGCCAAGTCTTTCACAGAAACTGTAGTTTGTCTTCCATCTGAGTGGCGTACCAGTGCATATTTGGAATTGGCATCCAATAGATCCACCACGTCGCAGAGAGGTTCGGTCTTTGTCCGAACGAATTTTCGAAGCAACACACTACCCCTTGAAAGTAGCCAATCGGGAAGCGATTGGCCCAGCATCGATCGTCGTTGAAAACCAAACAACCGTTCATGTGGAGTCGAGTTAGTAGACGTACATAATAAAGATCTTACGTTATGCAAGGCATCAGGTAAGACAATTTCCCAGGCAGCCTCTGGTAATTTTTGAGAAGCCAAAAGTAGCTTTATAGTCTTCCATAACGTTTGATTGATCCTTTCACGCTGAGCATTTCCTGTTGGATGGTACGGAGTGGAATTGCTGTTAGCAACGCCCCTTCTTGCAAGAAACTCCGTAACATCTCTTGATAAGAATGACCGGCCTCTATCGCTATGTACGTATTCAGGTAATCCCACCAGTGAAAATAAGGAAGAAAGGCACTGTATCACAGTTGTAGAAGTCATATCTTTACAAGGATAGGCGAATGGAAAACGACTGTATTCGTCAACAATTATCAGAATATACTGCTTTTTACCGCAAACGGGACCCTTGAAATCAAAGCTGATTCGTTCCAGCGGACGAGTTGCTCTAATTAATTCATGCTTGTAATTGCCTTTAAAATATAGCGGCTTTAGCTCCGCACATTGCTGACAGTTGGAGCAAATGTGTTTTACATCTTCAGTAGAGAAAGGCAGATTCTTAGATCTGATGAAATGTGACAATCTCCTAACACCCGGGCGACCAAGTTGTTCATGAATACTTTTGAGGTCAAAATCAGGATTGCCAAAAAGGCAACTTATTCGAGACATAGTATCAGGGGCTACATTATCAATCCCGGCTCGATGAACAACAGTATAATCGTAGCAACTAAGTTCCAATTTCCACAATGACAATTTAGTGTTTTTAATTTTGCTTTTATGGTTTTTTTGGAAAATGAAAGACAGGGCCCGTTGATCTGTAATTAAGCAAAACTTTCTTCCATGTAACAAATAACTCCATTTTCTGACTGCTTCTATAATAGAAGCAGCTTCTTTTTCAATTGAAGGGTACTTTATTTCATTTTTAGATAGTGTACGGGAAGTAAAAGCTACCGGACGACCACACTGATTTAAAATAGCAGCTATTGCGTTATTAGACGCATCACATTCAATGGTGGAAGTCTTGCTTTCGTCTATACTCCCGAGGCAGGCATTTAGTAGATAGCTTTTCAAAATTTCAAAACATCTCATAGCATTGTTTGAAAGTGGAAACCCCGATTTCTAGTCAAGGGAATTGTTTTATCAGAAAATTTAGGAATCCATTTGGAATAGTAAGCAACATTCCAAGGCAACGCTTTAAACTCTTAGAATCACGAGGAGGCTTCATGTCGAGCAACGGTTTGAAATGCTGAGGATCCGGTTTAATAGTGTTTATGTGATACTAGATGACCCAATAGTGATAGTTCAGTAGCAGAATAAAAGGATTTATCTTGGTTTTAAAGTTAACTCACAATCTTTGGCAGCAGGAGAAATGCTTTCAGTCGTTCATTCGTGTTCTTCCTTGTTCGTACCATAAATAGTGACATTATCCAAGTAAGCCAAAGTTCCCGTCAAGTCGTATTTGGCAATGATAGAGTCAATATACCGCTGAAATGCAGCTACACCATTAGTAACACCAAATGGAAGCCTGCAAAATTGATAAAGGGAGCCAGAAGCTTCAAATGCAGTTAAAGGTCTATCACTTATTGCAATGGCACTTGGTGGTAGGCCGATTTCAAATCTATAGTAGAAAATACACGTTCTTAGCTACCTCATTTACTATCTTGTCATTTTTTGGGCAATGGGTAGGCGTCTAAATAGGTGTATCGATTTACCGTTTGAGAATAATCAATAACGAGACGTTTCTTATGCCGGGCATCTTTGGTCACAATAACTTGTGCTCTCCATGGGGATCTTGAAGGCTCTATTATACCTTCCCCAAGAAAGACGAGATATCTCGCTTTTAATGAATCGACGATCGTCTGAACAATAATTTCCAGACGGAGCTGCTATCGGTTTGCAGTTGGGTTCAATAAACTGAAAAATCTGAAAAGGTTCACTAACCTTTGCAGCAGTTAGGTTACAGGTTTTCTCGACATTTAGATCCTCATAAGCGCCATCAAACCGAAATATAACTCTTCTGTGCTTGCTCGTGAAGTTATGCCCCAATATAACATCCACACACAAGTTATTTATTACGCCAAAGTTGACATCTTTGTTATGTTCGGAATTAGCCCTAATATCGGCTGTCACAGATCCCAATATACGAGCTTCGGACTTCTTTGATGCTAGTGAAATTTTAGACATCGGTCCTTTTAGAGTAAGCCCAAGAGAGACGCGAAATTGCTAGCCATTATAATTATCAGAAGAGCCCGAGTCGAGAAGAGCATCAACTTGCCTGCCAGAGATTATTACAGAAACAAGAAGCTAGTTTTAGACTGCTAGGTACAACAGCAGCTAAATGTGGGTTTTCAACTTTGTCACGTTTTTCATTAGAAGATCTACATACTCTTGCAAAGTGTCCACGTCGACCACACTTGAAGCAATACACATTTCTGGCTGGGCAATTTTGACGTTTTAAGCGATGCACACCTCTACAATAACCACACCTTTTGACAGCAAAATCGAAGTTTGAAGTTCTCGATGTCACAGCTATAGATTTGAATTGTCATCACGTCTTTCTTCTGTGTCTGATACAGTTTCAGATGCTTCTTTTTCTGACAATGTGGTCATTAATTGACCATTCGTACATTCTTGATAGGAGTTAGCAAACTTTTCGGCTCTCTCTAATGAATCTGCAATCTGAAGAGCTTTGTCAAGTGTTAATACTTCGTGCTCCAACAACCGTTGACGAATTTCGGCGGATTTCAATCCAGTTATGAAAGCATCTCTTATAGCTTCTCTATACTTATCAGCAGATACGGCTTCGAAGTTGCAGTCTTTAGCTAACGAAGACAATTGTTGGAAAATTCTGTTACGCATTCGCCACTTCTTTGCTTATTCGTCGCCAATTTATGCCTGGCAAAAACGTCATTTTTCTTCTTCTTGTACAACTTCTCTAATTTGGCCATAGCAGTGTCATATGTTGTTATTTCTTCAATATAAACAAACACATCAGGAGACATGTAGCCCATAATAATTGCCAATTTGTCAATCACAGGCAATGTTGTTGTCGTCGGAGACGAAGCTCTAGCAGTTTCTGCAGAATTCAAAAAGCTCTTGATCATGCGTTCCCAATGACTGAAAACCTTTTGAGCATATGGCGAATTCGGCGGAGTGTCCAAGACTGGTACACGGATAAACTTTTCCAATTGTTGAGCCATCACGCTTTGTAGTGGTAAAACCGAAGCTAATCTTTAAGTTAATAAAATTGTAGTGAAACCATTCGAGGAAAACTCATTTAGACTGTTTTCTAGGCTTTTATTAACTTAAAGATTACTACTATACTAAAACAAGAAAAAGAACAAGTTACAAGATGTAGCAATCCTGACGCACGCTAACCAAATAAAACCTTCGCATAGCCACGAGACTATTAACGATGGTGCCACGTTGGCCACATTAGGTGGCGCTAATTCAATTTCATCACAATACCAACAATGAGGACAGCCATTTTCAGGCCGAACCTCAAATACAACATTCTGTAAGAATTTACCGATATATTACCAGTTTTTTTGCCCCTTGGCTGTACGATAGCCGTTAACAAAGTTTTGCTTGGCCTATTTGTATGGAGCAACTCCCCTATTATTTTGAACCCTTCCTCCATGGGCTCATCACATTTCTCTATATCTGCTATATGCTTTTCTTCATACTCGGTATCAATAATACGCTGTAGATATGCAAAATTATGCATATCTAATTCCCTAATTAGTATAGACATACCGGTAGTTAATTATTGAGTTTTGAAGGAGATCTATAAATACAAATAAACATTTTCATTAACGTATCACGAGAGATACATTAGGTGACGCTAAAATCATTCAAAACATTGTTCGATACCAATGCCTCCCTACCCATTGTAATTCGCGGACCAGCGACATTAAATATAATGGCGTCACGAACTGACGTTTTATTATAAAAAGCAATAAATACCACCAAATTATACAATATAGCGGTCACCCTTCATCTTTTAAACGCTATCTGCAGCGATAAAATCGGGAATTAATAATATCCGAATGCTACTATATTAGAAAATAGCAAATATCAATTTAGAAGCGACGTAACATATATCAACAATAGCAAAAAATGACGCGGTCATCGATAAATCTTAACCAGACTGTCCAGACGTAAGCGTCGTGTTAATTTATAATGCTTAAATAAAGAAAGCACGCAAATTATACAAGTTAACTGAAAATCCTATTAGAGTACATCCAGCAAGAGACATGTTTCCGCGACCAGCTTCGCTATCCGAATGTCCTTCAAGAATGTCCGCAGCGCAACGTGCTTGACAATGATGTCATAGCTTCTTGATCACCATATAGTGACAATTCACGAACACGACATTCAGATTTGCCAATAAGACCTCTCCAGAGGCCGCAATAGGCAAAAATCATTTACTGAAGATAATTTGGAAGATTCAATATTTTATTTTAAATTGTACACAATACCAAATAAAACAATTGAAATGAAACATTGAAATGAAAATGTATAAAATGTTGATGGCTGTTGATGGAATTTATTCTTCTTCCGACACACTCTCTGTCGCCACAGAAACGATATGTGCAAAAGTTGCAATTTTAATTGATTCGTCTGTCAGTAACATAGAATACGATTCATTGCGTTCAAATCTTTTATGTGATAATCGCTAGGGTCAATTTAGTCTGGGTGCAATGACTAAACCTCGCCTAGGCAGAACCGCCTTCGTGATCGCGGTTGACTGCCTCGTCAGGTAAGTATGATTTGAGACGATTGGTTGCGCATCATGAATGAATGTTCTATGCTAATGATACTTCCAAATCTTGGCGCTCATTCTATTGCTCAATCAATGGCAACACAATCTGAATGTGGAACTACAAATATGAAATCAATCTAGATACGGTTGGATAAAGGGACAGCTTGGATAACGGCAAGGCATGAATATAACATACTCTAACAATGATCCCGACGGCCACAACTAATGGAGCCATACGAAAATAGCGTGGCCGCTCATTGACCTAAACTCGTATGTCAACAGGATATTAATAGGGAGCAAATACACAAAAGGGAGAGCGCGAACGCAGTCCCCACTAGCAGAAATTACACGACCGAGTTATCCACATTTGGGATAATCGCTAGGGTCAATTTAGTCTGGGTGCAATGACTAAACCTCGCCTAGGCAGAACCGCCTTTGTGATCGCGGTTGACTGCCTCGTCAGGTAAGTATGGTTTGAGACGATTGGTTGCGCATCATGAATGAATGTTCTATGCTAAGGAAGAAGTTCTCAACAAATAAAAACGAAATTTGCAAAAGTTGCAATTTTAATTGATTGGTTTGTCAGTAACGTAGAATACGATTTCTTGAGTTCAGATATTTTATGTGATACATCGCGAGTTCTTTGCCATTCGATGGCAGAATGAAGCCGAACAACTTTACAAGAAATAGCAAAGAGCCAGGGTTTGAAATATTAAACTATAAACAAAGAGCCGCAGCTCCGATACGTACCTTAAACGGAGAATAATGATATTTCCGAATCTTGGCGCTCAGTCTATTGCTCAATCAATGGCAACACAATCTGAATGTGAAACTGCAAATAAGGAATCAATCTAGAGACGGTTGGATAAAGGGATAATTTGGATAATGGCAAGGCATGTCATGGAATAATATCAATAAATGGATTGTAAGATTGGTCATGAGAAATATAACATACCCAAACGAGGATCAATACGGCAACATTTAATGAAAGCAACGTGGCCGCTCATTGACCTAACTCGTAAGCCAACAGGATATTGGTAGTGAGCAAATATATAAAAGGGATAGCGCGAACGCAGTCCCCACTAGCAGAAATTACACGACCGAGTTATCCACATTTGGGATAATCGCTAGGGTCAATTTAGTCTGGGTGCAATGACTAAACCTCGCCTAGGCAGAACCGCCTTCGTGATCGCGGTTGACTGCCTCGTCAGGTAAGTATGATTTGTGACGATTGTTTGCGCATCATGAATGGATGTTCTATGCTACGGAAGAAGTTCTCAACAATAAAAACGATATGTGCAAAAGTTGCAATTTTAATTGATTTGTCTGTCAGTAACGTAGAATACGATTCATTGCGTTCAAATCTTTTATGTGATACATCGCGAGTTCTTTGCCATTCGATGGCAGAATGAAGCCGAACAACTTTACAAGAAATAGCAAGGACCAGGGGTTGAAATATTAAACTATAAACAAAGAGCCGCAGCTCCGATACGTACCTTAAACGGAGAATAATGATATTTCCGAATCTTGGCGCTCATTCTATTGCTCAATCAATGGCAACACAATCTGAATGTGAAACTGTAAATAAGGAATCAATCTAGAGACGGTTGGATAAAGGGATAATTTGGATAATGGCAAGGCATGTCATGGAATAATATCAATGAATGGATTGTAAGATTGGTCATGAGAAATATAACATACCCAAACGAGGATCAATACGGCAACATTTAATGAAAGCAACGTGGCCGCTCATTGACCTAACTCGTAAGCCAACAGGATATTGGTAGAGAGCAAATATATAAAAGGGATAGCGCGAACGCAGTACCCACTAGCAGAAATTACACGACCGAGTTATCCACATTTGGGATAACCGCTAGGGTCAATTTAGTCTGGGTGCAATGACTAAACCTCGCCTAGGCAGAACCGCCTTCGTGATCGCGGTTGACTGCCCCGTCAGGTAAGTATGGTTTGTGACGATTGATTGCGTATCATGAATGAATGTTCTATGCTAAGGAAGAAGTTCTCAACAATAAAAACGATATGTGCAAAAGTTGCAATTTTAATTGATTCGTCTGTCAGTAACGTAGAATAAGATTCATTGTGTTCAAATATTTTATGTGATCGCGAGTTCTTTGCCTTCCGATGGCAGAATGAAGCTGAACAACTTCACAAGAAATAGCAAGGACCAGGGTTTGAAATATTAAACTATAAACAAAGAGCCACAGCCCCAATACGTACCTTGGACAGCAAATAATGATACTTCCAAATTTTGGCGCTCATTCTATTGCTCAATCAATGGCAACACAATCTGAATGTGGAACTACAAATATGGAATCAATCTAGATACGGATGGATAAAGGGACAGCTTGGATAATGGCAAGGCATGAATATAACATACTCTAACGACAATAGCGTGGCCGCTCATTGACCTAACTCGTATACCAACAGGATATTAATAAGGAGCAAATACACAAAAGGGAGAGCGCTAACGCAGTCCCCACTAGCAGAAATTACACGACCGAGTTATCCACATTTGGGATAATCGCTAGGGTCAATTCATTCTGGGTGCAATGACTAAACCTCGCCTAGGCAGAACCGCCTTCGTGATCGCGGTTGACTGCCTCGTCAGGTAAGTATGATTTGTGACGATTGTTTGCGCATCATGAATGAATGTTCTATGCTACGGAAGAAGTTCTCACCAATAAAAACGATATGTGCAAAAGTTGCAATTTTAATTGATCGTCTGTCAGTAACTAGAATACGATTCATTGCGTTCAAAATCTTTTATGTGATACATCGCGAGTTCTTTGCCATCGATGGCAGAATGAAGCTGAACAACTTTACAAGAAATAGCAAGGACCAGGGGTTGAAATATTAAACTATTAAACAAAGAGCCGCATCTCCGATACGTACCTTAAACGGAGAATAATGATATTTCCGAATCTTTGGCGCTCATTCTATTGCTCAATCAATGGCAACACAATCTGAATGTGGAAACTGCAAAATAAGGAATCAATCTAGAGACGGTTGGATAAAGGGATAATTTGGATAATGGCAAGGCATGTCATGGAATAATATCAATAAATGGATTGTAAGATTGGTCATGAGAAATATAACATACCCAAACGAGGATCAATACGGCAACAACTAATGAAAGCAACGTGGCCGCTCATTGACCTAACTCGTAAGCCAACAGGATATTGGTAGTGAGCAAATATATAAAAGGGATAGCGCGAAAGCAGTCCCCACTAGCAGAAATTACACGACCGAGTTATCCACATTTGGGATAATCGCTAGGGTCAATTTAGTCTGGGTGCAATGACTAAACCTCGCCTAGGCAGAACCGCCTTCGTGATCGCGGTTGACTGCCCCGTCAGGTAAGTATGGTTTGTGACGATTGGTTGCGCATCATGAATGAATGTTCTATGCTAAATGTTGAGATAGAAGTTTTCAACAATAAAAACGATATTTGCAAAAGTTGCAATTTTAATTGATTCGTTTGTCAGTAACGTAGAATACGATTCCTTGAGTTCAGCATATTTTATGTGATACATCGCGAGTTCTTTGCCATCTAATGGCAGAATGAAGCCGAACAACTTACAAGAAATAGCAAGAGCCAGGGTTTGAAATATTAAACTATAAACAAAGAGCCACAGCCCCAATACGTACCTTGGACAGCAAATAATGATACTTCCAAATCTTGGCGCTCATTCTATTGCTCAATCAATGGCAACACAATCTGAATGTGGAACTACAAATATGAAATCAATCTAGATACGGTTGGATAAAGGGACAGCTTGGATAATGGCAAGGCATGAATATAACATACTCTAACAATGATCCCGACGGCCACAACTAATGGAGCCATACGAAAATAGCGTGGCCGCTCATTGACCTAAACTCGTATGCCAACAGGATATTAATAAGGAGCAAATACACAAAAAGGAGAGCGCGAACGCAGTCCCCACTAGCAGAAATTACACGACCGAGTTATCCACATTTGGGATAATCGCTAGGGTCAATTTAGTCCTTTACCATTCGATGGCAGAATGAAGCCGAACAACTTTACAAGAAATAGCAAAGAGCCAGGGTTTGAAATATTAAACTATAAACAAAGAGCCGCAGCTCCGATATGTACCTTAAACGGAGAATAATGATATTTCCGAATCTTGGCGCTCATTCTATTGCTCAATCAATGGCAACACAATCTGAATGTGAGACTGCAAATATGGAATCAATCTAGATACGGTTGGATAAAGGGACAGCTTGGATAATGGCAAGGCATGAATATAACATACTCTAACAATGATCCCGACGGCCACATTTAATGAAGCTATACGAAAATAGCGTCGCCGCTCATTGACCTAAACTCGTATGCCAACAGGATATTAATAAGGAGCAAATACACAAAAGGGAGAGCGCGAACGCAGTCCCCACTAGCAGAAATTACACGACCGAGTTATCCACATTTGGGATAATCGCTAGGGTCAATTTATTCGCGGGGATTCGTTATTTCCAGCGGAAATTTATATTCATAAAAAACTATAGTCGTAATATAGGTAAACAATATGATGAAAAACTTCGTTTGCAGCCCGGATCCGGCCCGCGGGTATGAATTAACCCGCCTCTGGTTTATTCAATACGCCACAAAGAACACTCACGGTTAAAGAATAAATTTTTTGTCTTTTAGGTTTGCAAACGCTATAGCATATGTCGTAAAAGATCTATGATTACAAGTCTCTCAAGCAGGAAAGAACCATTTCGATTTTGTATATGTTTAATGCATGCCATTTATACACAGTATGTATATATACACAATGTGTTGCTGAACCAACAGAACATACTAAACGAGCAAGGTAATCGGGTGCACCAAAAAATTCTTTTCAGTTTGTTCCATATATACCTCAGGAAGTGACGTCGAACAAAACACCACACGTAAATATAAACTGCTTTCAACTGCACAAATATAATGAGTAAATGAATTTTGGATGCTGCATCATGCTGAATTTAGTCCCGTTAGTTTGCGAACGCTATAGCATGTGTCGTAGAAGATCTATGAGTACGAGTCTCTCAAGCAAAAAAAACAATCTCATTTTTTATCAATTTTTAAAGATGTTCAATGAATGCCATTTTATATACAATATGTAGATATATACCACAATGTATTGCCGTACAACAGAACATACTAAACGCACAGGGTAATAGGGTGCAACGAAAATATTCTATTAATTAGCTTGTTTTATATTTACCGCAGGAAGTGACGTCAAACAAAACACCACACGCAACTATAAACTGCTTTCAACTGTACAAATATAATAAATGAATATGTTTTGGATGCTGCGTCACGCGGATGATTTTTTGATTTATTTATTTTCAATACAGCACAGATAAAATCGCTATCTGATCACTTGCTACGGCTAATCGCATATAGCGTACTCGTTGATTCTACAAGCGCTTGCCGACCTGTAATCGATGAGTGGTTTAGAATGTGAGTGAACTTGATGTCGTACAACAATGGTTGTTAGATGTTGCATATCTGCTTTGCATATGTATCGTAAATTATATCATGATTACCATATGCCTGTGTTTACATCCAATTAAGCAGTTATCTGTCTATATGTGTGTACGTAACTGTGTGCGACTGCTCTAACTCAGAACTGGCACAGCTAGGTGGTAACTTTCATTTATTACTTATCGATTTTAATGATAAATTATTATGTTGATAGGTATTTGTCTGTTTGTCTGCCTGTTAGATGTACGCGATATTTCACGAAAACGAGATTAGATCTGCTGCAGATTTTGCATGTACATTCATCATATCTCGTACCAGAAGCCTATTGATTTTGGGCGAATTATGTCGTATAATTAGCGATTTATCAATCAATTAGTGATGGGACACAAGGTGTCACTATGGAGTAAGAGCGCTGTTTTGGGAGATCCCCTAACTTTCGATCGATAAGTCTTCGGTCTCTGACCGATATTCTCGTTTTTAATTTTTGTGCATTTTTTAATATACATCATAGTAATCGTGAATTTTGCCTATCTGTTTGAATTTGCGTCTTAAATAGATCAGGAACGCCGAAAAAAGTCTCAAAAATACATCCTCTCGATACCAACCATGAGCTCTGACAAGAGCTTATAAGATAAGCAACATAATACTTTCGGATATTTTTACAGATATTTACTTTATAGCTAAAAATTTAGTTGCGTCATCAAAGCTTCCTGGTAGCAAACATGGACTCCGTCAAAATTATTCTGTTCATTCCTGTTATCTGTGCCTTGCTTGCGGAACTGAAAGTACCGGGTAAGATTTGCCTCGGATACAAATACTTGATTTCAAAATACTGAATTGCAGGTAATCTTCGGCTCAATCTGGTACCAAGAATTCTAAAATATAAGAGTGTAGAAACGCTTATAATCTTGTCACAAGATGTCGTTGAATTGAACCTAAAAATATCACATTTTATTTCGACAGCTGGATCCTGCGTTTCCAAGATCGTGAAGGGGAAACTCGTCCAAATTGGAGATTGCACGGTGAAATCAAGTTACTATTTTTTATCAGATGCTTTACTGCTTGACTCTAAGCTAGGCGTTGGAAAAGTAGCCACTGATACTGTTAGATCTAATATTTTTGGAAGAACTCGAAGCTTTTTTTTAATTTTCAACCCAATTTTCAATCCGACTGTTACATGTGACGTAATTGGGGATGTAAGTTTCGAATATTTTTTTTCGAATCGAATTTCGAATCACAATGTTCCGATTTAGTATATCATCATATTATCGTTAACTTTCTTCAAATTTGATAGAAATATAGTATATTTTTTTATAAAATAACAAAAAATGAGCTTTAAGAATTGAGAAAGTTACTAGAAAAACACACTGCATGGATGTATCAACTACCAAATATATTACGACTGAGATTTATTTTTTGTTGCATAAAGGTATACTTAGTTACATTTACTTACATAGAATTATGTTTGCAAATAATACCGGGTGTATAGCGACTATTTCTTTCAAAATTTATCCCAATGATAAACGCTAGTTAGTACCGTATGTGCCCTAATTTTAAAAGAAGCAATGATAACGAGGGAAGCTTATCAGGTATTTTTTTATAAGGTATAAAGCAATGGTGTTTTATGATAAAAAAATTTATCTAGATAATTTGAAGAAACGTTTAAAATATTTGTAAAACATTGTAACATTTTAAGTAGTCAAACAAAATTGAGCGAAACCATTGTTCCCTCCAAAGCTGCTACCATTATGAAATATAACGACTCTGGGAGTGTCACGGCTTTGGAAAGCTGTAAACGTAAGGACAATAAGGCGGCGCCGCTGTGTCGTTATATCGCCTTGGGTTATCTATTACATTTTTTTTAAATATAATCAAGCCCCCTTTTTTAAATTGTATCAAATCGATTCGAATTCTGAAACTTACATCCCTAGACGTGACTAATATAATCTAATAAACTTACGTGTTATGTTCACTTTACTAATCATTTGTATTATTTATTTATTTTACAGAAAAGCGATGGATCTGGTGAGTTCGTCCCACTTCATGATATTTATTATGTTTAAAAATTCGTTGTTGACTTTAAGCGTATGACAGACTTTTGAGTCGTAGTCTATAACGACTATAATATCTATGACAAAAATTGATTTAAAACGCCATACTCTAACCAAAATAAAATAAATCGTTTTTGTTCACAGAAATTGCCAGATTGATCAAGAAGAGTCTTGATGAAAAGAAAAAAGCTGAAAGTAATTTATATTTGTGTTTTCTGATTCATACACTGACTTTAACATAAGCCACACCCGTCAAAGCATCAGTATTTAATTTTATGAAGATTTTAAGTATTGGACCCCGAGTTGTACCTGAGTGATTAACACAACTCCTATTCTGTTAAGCCCACCAACCATGTACCTAGAAATTGCCAGATTGATCAAGAAGAGTCTTGATGAAAAGAAAAAAGTTGAAAGTAATTTATATTTGTGTTTTCTGATTCATACACTGACTTTAACATAAGCCACACCCGTCAAAGCATCAGTATTTAATTTTATGAAGATTTTAAGTATTGGACCCCGAGTTGTCCCTGAGTGATTAACACAACTCCTATTCTGTTACGACTTCTGTTAAGCCCACCAACCATGTATCTAAATTTGATAGCAATTATGACATCTGAAATAGATTTTTTCCGTCGTTTTTTTTAATTTTCTTTTTATCGAATTTCCTTTTTCCAAAATTGTTAAATTACAATATTTCCAAATTTCTATTTTGAAAGGAAATCTCACTGAATAAGCAGAGCGACAAAATATTAATCCCAGATTGATAAGGTAATCTGAAATTTTAATAAAAAAGATTCGATGACAACAGTATTGTTGTTTTCAGACAAATGTGACGTCACATATAAGACAAAATGCTTCCAAATAGTTGTGTATAGTACACATAACGTCACCTTCAATGATGCCGGACCAATCTGCAAATCAATGAACAACAGAAAACTCGCGAATATCTACGAACTCGCGCATTACCAGTCGCTGCTTCCTTATCTTCGCTCACTGATCCCTGCTGGAATCGAATGGATTGAAATCTGGACTGGAATGGAGTATAAGGTCAGTTGAAAGTTCACAATCTCAGCTGAGTTTGACTCATTTTTGTAAACATCAGCGGGTCAAAGGTTGGCCCAAAGCTTGTCTTTAATAAAATTATCAAATAGTGAACAGGTTAACAATGCCTTACGATTTTTTAATGGATTGGATGATTAGAGAAAACTAATTATAAAATATAATTGTGATTTTAAATGTATTGTGACGTCGTCGACGAACAGTCTGATTGGTATTGTGGTATTTGACGAATATTTTAGAATTTGTGATATTGCCAGTAATTTCTGGTTTTCACTCATTTTGGATGTAATTATTAACACATCATTTGCCATACATACATCGTCTTTGATGACTACATTCACTATAAAGCTCATTACTGAAAGCGAGCAAGTATTTTCATTATTCACCTAATGCAGTGATTCTCAATCTATTTTATTTCGTGGTCCATTTTTGTTGTCCAAAAACACTTTTGGCCCATCAACTATTTATTACAAGGCGAAAACTACAAAAAAATCAGGATCTTTCTACGAAAATGAACACTCAAACGTTTCTCATTAAAATGAGAAGTACATCCCAGTAGCAGAAAACAGCATCGTCATTGATTGCTGCTACAATCAAAATTAACTATTGTGACATAAACAGAATTATCAATTTTTATTAGTTCTGTGGCCCACCTCAAAATTCTTCTGTGGCCCAGCAAAACTGGTTGAAAACCGGTGATCTAATACGTCAGTACAAAACAGATTTTGAGACCTTTCATTTGGTTGTCACAGAACAATCAGCTGTTGCTGTTAAGCGGAGAACCAATCACTATAGCAACTGAAGTGTGGTATCCTAGTTACCCGACATCCGATGAATCGCGTACAAATGTTGTTGTTCAGATCCATAAAGATCAAGAGTTTGGACGTCAGGGAATGATTAATGCAAAACCATCATGGTCAAAGTATGGTGTTATCTGTGAAATATAAAACCAGCTTAAAACCTGACAAAACTACGCTGAAAGGCTGAATAATATAAACGGCAAAGAGTTTTCCCTTTTTATTACTTTTATTATTCCTTTACTAATATTAACCGTATAACCCATGCTTTGAATTGGTCGCTTTGTCTATTGAAAATTTTTGCTCAGAAAATAAAATTCATAGCTGTCTCGCTCGATGTGATTTCTGTACATTACCGAAAATATTAATAAATATTGATTCGATCATTTGTGAGTTTGTTATTATTTCATCAATTTATGAGAATCCACTAGAAAAAGAAATAGAAAAATAAAATGGAATATTAAACCGTAAAATAGAATATTACTCATGCGTAAGAAAAATGACCATGACTACCATATCTATAGATATCTTGAGTTAGGGCAGGTATATTAGGGAGAGAATTTCTGAAACAAACTTAGTTAAGTAGTACTTAAGTGCTTTGCTTTTCCCACATTAGGCGATGGAAAACCAACTGCACTGGGAGGATCATAAATATGACTTGGCATAATTATCCTTTATAAAGTTCAAATAAAACGTTATTCAGAAAAATTATGCCAACGTTTTTAAAATGTGACTCAGCATAATTTGCAAAGATAGAAAGCAAAACTCGGGTAGAAGTCTCTAAACAAGTTGTTCCCGAATTTTTATGGCTCGTTCTCTACTTCCGGGGACATTTAGCACTCGTGACACCTGTTTATTATTCCAGTGGTATTTCGATTAGTAGATTTAAATCCGATGATGTTCAAACAATTCATGTTCAACAAAGTGAAAACATCCTGTGAAACTACGTTATCAAGCAATGGAACTAGGAAAAACAGGAAGTGTTCTTGTCGAGGGAAAAGTAAAATCAGTTTTGCGCCCAGCATTTTGGTCCACTCCACCTGCTCTGTGACACCTTTGGGAGGCCAAGAACCGCCGGTAGGGACTTGCTGATTTAAACCCTGATTGCATGTATAGTCACCGGTCGTCATGGTCAGAGTTCAAGCCAATCATTAGTACTTGTCTTCAAGAGAGATAGTTTAGTATGAGATTGAGTCATTCCATCAAATTGACTCATGTATTACATAAACTCGAATCAAGTCGATAAGCTAAAACCCGATTTCTGTGCATTATCAAGTCATATTACTTGTTGACATACTTGTATGAAAAGCGGGCTTGTCCTTATTATTGAAGCGTAGCAGCTGTGCTGGGTCACTGGTTGCGATAATAATAAATAAAAGAAAAAAGACTCCTGTGCCGTCACAAGCGAAAGACAAAATCAGTGTTACACGATAAACGACATCAGCGAATTTGAAAATGTAAGCGATCTACGCAAGACCAATGTAGGTTACTTGAGCCATCGTATAAAAGACAAAAGATCGATTCTTTTATTAATGAGCCTTCGGAAGAAATTGTTGCAAGGCTTGTAGATGTTGACGACCTATCGTTTAAAGGAGTGTTATTTAAAAAAAATTTGATGAATTTGATTCTGCACTTTACGGCGATTTCACTGTGTACATAAAATCAACTTAGTTTTCTACTCTCCTTGAAAAACGCTTCAACCACAATCGACCGCAGTTCGATCACGGCCTTTGATGAGTAGCGAGAACTCAATCCAGAACTTGTAAGCATATTCACAAGTAAAGTGTTCAACCTCTATTCCTGTATTTGATTCTAGTATTTGTGGCGTCGTTTAATAAAGATTGAAACAATAATAAGTGGAACAGAAATGCAAGATGTACAATATTATGGAATGGAAGATGATGATTGAACCTAAAAGCAAGACAGCAATGCTCGAATATATGGACACGAAGACCAAAACAAAGTAGTACGGGTATGCAATCTGTCTCAGTAGATTACAGGTAACGCAGTTTTGATGACTTCCCATGATTACCAGAACTAACGCATACGTGGAACCGCCATAGATGCACAATTTTGAATTACGTGGATACGAAAGCCAATCACCTAAGTGAAATGGGTAGTATGTTGAATTTATTTGAAAATATAACATGGGCTTCAGCCTACCTTGCCTAATAGTAAATTGGGAACTGCCATGGCCAGATTTAGACAATGTGAGGCTCATAGGGCCTAGACGTAGGTTCTCAAAGGGCTCCATACGGAGCACACGGGCACCGTTAAATGACCCTAAAAGTTCGGCGAGATATCCGTTTACTTATTAAGATACTGACTTGGCTAATTTTGTAACTCTCCAGAAGAGCAATAATGGAAAGAATTGATAAAATATGATATTATTTTTATAAATACATTGCGGCACTCCGTGAATAATGGTCAATATCTCCAGATAATATACTTGGTTACTGGGCCGGTGTTCAAAACTCAATATGGAACTATGAATGAGAAACAGTCAGTCTATCTAAAAATAATTAACGACGCTAACAATCGCCCGCCTGCTCGTATATGTTTCAGAAGATGTATTAAATAACATTGGAAGACTAGCAAGTGGCGTGAGTATAGACAAATATTTGGATGGATGTACCGAACAGAAGGATAAAATGTATTTCAGCTATCACTGCCGCACGAAAAACGTTCATGGAGGAAGTACTCTGAAAAACGTAATTTACAGGCCTGAACTTTAATCTTGTGCGCTATTCTTGTTCAGTTTTATAACTGCATAAAAGCCATAAATGATGCGAATGAAACATTTCGTTAAGTCGGATCCGGCCTGTGGGTCGTAATTTACCCGCCCATGTTCTGTACAATATGCCCGACCTAGAACTAAGAACACGCACAGTAAACGAATAAATTTTTGTCACGTTAGTTTGTCGTAAAAGTAAAAAATTTTCGAGTCTTTCAATCAAAAAAAAAAAAAATCTCGTTTTTTAACTATTTTTGAAGATGTTCAATGAATGCTATTTTATATACAGTGTGTAGATTAGGGTTGGATTATCCGGATAGCGGTTATCCGGATAACCGGTTAACCGAGAGGTATTTTACTATCTGATATCCGGATAATATTGTGACGGTTAACCGGATAATAGAGCAATATAAATAATGTATATGCGCATTAGTAATTTTTATATTTTTTGTTGAGTGGCGTCTTGACATCTCCCAGACTCCAGAGCATATAATAACACCTTCTATTCACACTACTCTGCCCATATTTAGCCACCAATTAGGTTGAAAAGTATTGAATGTGTGGGTGTGAGTTTGTGGCTTTTTGGTCGGGTGTGGCTTTTAGTTTATTGCGTGTATTGAAGGAACGCATTTCATGATGGAACAAGCCAGGACTTAATTCCCAATACTTTGTAATCTATGTGATCTGTGTAGCATTTCAAAATTTTCGGTATACGATTGCATGTAATGTGCATGTTTTCAACTTTTTAAATTTTTCTATTGCGCAAAATAACCAATTTGTGGCTGATTCAAGCATTTTAAAATGTCTTTCCATAATAACTCTGTTCAACGTATCTCGCGATTGCGTCGACATACGTTAAAATTAAAGCACTTCTACTATAAAATGCCACCGCTTTCTGCATATATGAAAATACGTAGTAAGCTGCACAAATAATATCAGTTTTTATTCGTATTTTTTGCAATCTTGCGAATTTGAGCTATTAACAATAGAACTGTGTGGTGGTGGTTTTTGGTCAATTCGACGTAAAAATCTTGCGAAATCGGATCTTTAAAATTAGCAGTAACTATCCGGTCAACCGGATAGTTGAAATACGGAATACCCGGATATATCCGTTATCCGGATAGTAAAAATTATAGGTATCCGAACTAACCCTAGTGTAGATGGACCACAATGTATTGCCGTACGACAGAGCATACTAAACGCACAGGGTAATGGGGTGCAACAAAATACTCTGTTCTTTAGTTTGTTTTATGTATATATCACAGGAAATCAAACAAAACACCACACGCGAATATAAACTGCTTTCAACTGCACAAATATAATAAATAAAATGAAGTTTGGTTGCTGCGTCATGCGGATGTTTTATGTTTCATTTTTTAGATACAGCACAGATAAAATTGCTGTCTGATCACTTGCTACGGCCAATCGCATATTACTGAGTGGTTTTAAATCTGGGTGAACTTGATGTCGTAGAACAATGGTTGATAGATGTTGCATATCTGTTTTGCGTATGTATTGTAGACTATATCGTGTCCATAAATTAATCAGTAATTGTTCAAGTATTTTTACTTCATTTAATACATATACGAAGGCCGAAACATTGTTTTTAGGTTGAGAAAAACTGCCAAATGTTTCATTTTGTCGCACCAAGGTCGGTAAACTTTGTTTGAAATATTGTTTTAAGACTGCACAAATATAAAGCGTATTGAGTTTTATTGGTTTTGTTAATGGTCAGTGTCATCTATTTTGTTTTCACGTGCAACGTCGGGCGATCTTTTGAAATTTTTCAAATGTTGTTTTGGGACTGCACAATTGTAAATGGCAAATCAATTAAATATTTAATTAAAAGGAATGATGTTTTTAGGCTGCAGAATTATTAGCCGTAAATTGAGTTTTATTGTTTATGTCATCTGTTATGATTTCGCGTGTAACGTTGGGCGATCTTTTAAAAAATATTTTAAATGTCCAAAATGCTGTTTTGAGACTGAACAATTGTAAAAAAAAATTACCTTGGTTTTTGAGTAAAATGGACAATTTATATAATTTTTTGTGTTAGATATAACAAAGGACGAGACTTGAGGTCGATCAGAAATTTATGCTCGCGAAAAATACTTCAAACTGAACTATTAAAAATAGATGAATCAAATTTTTTTGTCGAGTAGAACGTTTGATGTTTGTATATTAGAAATTAGCTTATGGCTAAGGGAAGTTATGTTATACGCGTTCGTTAGACATGCTGCATAATCACAACCTATGAGTCAAGATGGCTGCCGCATTGATACTGAGTATTTGCTAGTAGAAAAAAATGGTGGTTTGTGACGCGTGGAAAAATACCAAAGGATTTTACGTTTTATGAGTCAAGATTCGCTGCGCTAAAGGCGTTTTTACTAATTCACTGCAAAATTTAGCAGAGAGGAGCGAGCATAAAAAGTAAAATGATTGTGGCCCGCGTTTCATGGAAAATTTCCAAAACGTATTATTGCGTAACGTGTAATGCACAATTATACCGCCTAAATTGA